GCCCCCCCTTCGCCTTTGGCAGTGTCAACTTATCCCAGCTGACCCAATGCAAGTTATTGTCCTTATCTTGCTGACTCCACCAAAACTTCCCAAGCAGGCTGTTTATCTCTGTGCAAAGGGATTTTGTGAGGTCAAAGCAAGACATAGCGTATGTAGGAATGGCTTGTGCGACTCCTTTTACCAATCCCTCTTTACTCTCCTTTTGCAAGGAGCTGCTCTTGCCATCCGTACACTCTACCACATATGCTACCTTTAATATATGCAAATGTTTTCCTTCTTGATCTTCCAACATGAACCGGGAGACCGAGGTACCTCTCGTTCCAATTCTTGCTATGAATCGCAATTGCATCTTTCACTGCGTTTTTTTCCTCTTCCAGCGTGTTCGGACTGAACATAATGGCCGACTTTTCCACGTTTATGCACTGCCCAGAGCAGTTCTCATAAAGGGCCAGCGCCTCATGCAGAGCCACTGCTTCTGCCTGATTTGCTTTGAGCAACAGCATGGAGTCATCTGCAAAGAACAGGTGCGACACACGTGAGGCTGCTGTGCAGATTTTCACTCCATGAATTGTTCCTTTTTCCTCTGCCTAATGCAGCAAAGTTGAGAGCCCTTCTGCACATATCATAAAGAGATATGGTGAAAGTGGGTCTCCTTGCCGGAGCCCTCTTGAAGGCCTGAATTGTACTGTGCGTGTTCCATTCACTTTAATATGGTATCTCACCGTGGATACACACTTCATGATCAGGTTCACCCACAGCCTCCGAAACCCAAGCTTGATCATCATAGCCTCAAGGAACCCCCATTCAACTCTATAATATGCCTTGCTCATGTCCGCCTTTACTGCAGCATATCCTTCTTTGCCATTTCTCTTATTCATCAAGTAATGTGAAACCTCATATGCAATCAAGACATTGTCAGTTATTAGTCTCCCGGGTACAAATGCACTCTGGTTTTCAGAGATGATCTCGGGTAGCACCACTTTAAGCCGATTTGCAAGGACTTTGGAGATAAGTTTGTATAGCACATTACACAGACTAATCGGCCGGAGATCTTTTATTCTTTGCGGGTTGTTGACTTTCGGGATGAGCACTACTAAGGTGTCGTTCCATCCTGCAGGAACGTCACCTCCATTCAAAACCCCAAGGACTTCCTCCACCACTTGATCTCCCATGAACTCCCAGTGGCGCTTGAACACAATTGATGGCATTCCATCCGGCCCCGGGGCCTTTAGATCACCTATGTGATCGAGAGCTGCTTTCACCTCTTCCCGGGTGAATTCTGCTTCCAGGACGGCCTGCATAGCATCTGTAACAGGAGGCTTCACTTTTTCAATGAGTTCAGGTATTCTGTAGCCCGAGCTTGAGGTGAAGAGTTCCTGAAAAAATGAACACACATAATTGGTTAGCTATCCTTCTTCCTTCACTACTTCCCCATTCTCCTTCCTAAGCTCCTTAATTCTGTTTACTTTCTTTCTTGCTGTCGCAACAGCCTTCAAATACGCCGTATTTCTATTTCCATCTCGTAACCACCACATATGTGCTCGCTGTTTATAGTGAATGTACTGTTTTTCTTCCAGCTCCTCCACTTCCCGACGCAAAGTTGTCTCCTCGGTGATTTTTTGTGCAGAAACAGGATCACACATGCACCTTTCGAGCGCGCGCCAAGCTTGCTTTAAACAGGATCACACATCCACTTTAGGCTGTGTTCGGTTGAGAGGGATTTGGCAGGGATTGAAGTGGATTTAATCCTCTACAAGTCAAAACCTCCCCAAATCCCCTCCAATCCTCTTGTGGAGGGGTGTAACCGAACAAGGCCTTAAGAGGTCGTTGGTTGTTACATTGAAGAGTCAGATAGGAGGTCATGTGTATAATTCCCACAATGTTGATTTATTTTGACAAAATTATTTTTCGCGCAGCTAGACCGGAGGTCCTGTGTATAATTCCCACAATGTTGATTTATTATGACCCAATTAATACGAGCTAACAGTGCGAAACTTTAACGTGCACTCACCAAACGAAAAGGACCAAACCAAACCAAGAATACCTATTTCCTTTAATAGTAGGTATAATATAATATAGATATAGATATAGATGAGGTCAGCCCATCTCATCCAAAAAACAACCAACAAAATTTGGTGTGGGACTTGAAATTGCAAGTACTCCCTCCATTTCAAAATAGATGACTCAACTTTGTATTAACTTCTAAAGTTAGTACAGAGTTGAGTCATCTAATTTGTAGTGAAATCTTTAAAAAGACTTATATTTAAAAACGGAGAAAGTATTTTGAAACGGAGGGAGTAGTTGCGTGCCCACGACACACCCAGCGAACAAGACACGCCTAACTGGGCCGGCCCATTAGTGTCAAACTGCCAGCGACAGTCACGCACAAGAAAGAATATAGTGCAAGTGCTATGATTCTAACTGGTGACCACCTAGTTCGTGCATGAACGTTGCTAGCCACTGCAACAAGCAAGTCCTAGTGACAAATAAGAAGCACAAGCTTTGAAGAACTAAATGGAAGCAGTGCAACAAATAATTATTTGAAAAACTGCAAACAATTTTTCAAATTTCGAATACTTCTTCAGAATTACAGACATTCTTGTTAAACTCAAGTAACCTTTTAAAATCCTGGGTATTTTTTAAAAAATATGAAGAAATTTGTAATTCCCCCAAAAAATGAAATTGTAAAGAAAACTTGAAAATGAGAACATCTTTTGAAATTCTGAACGATTTTAGAAAAGGAAAACTTTTTCTAAAATCAAATAATATTTTTTCAAAACATGAACTTTTTTGAATTGGCGAAATCTATTTTGGAAAATGCGAACATTTTTTAAATTCCAAACCATTTTTCTGAAAACACGGATTGTTTTTAATCGGTGAACAAAATAGCCTTATATACAAAAGTATATGAACAAAAAAGGTGTGTGTCATTTGTATACAACCATGAGATTTCGGAAAAAGATGGGAAAGTATCTCAATAGGTTGGGCACTAAAAGTCATATAAATGGGCGCAGGCGCTCATATATACGCTCATACACTCATTTCTATGAACACACACTTAAACCCTAGCCCTATGAGCACCTCTGAGAGACTGGGACGACATATCATCTTGAGATTGACGAAGTCACCATAGACGCCTTGTAGTCGACGGGAACATCTTCTACCACTGAACGCGCATCGCCGAGAATCCTGAAATAAATCCAAAAATAATACGAGCACCAGGAATTAAACTCTGATGAGTTGGGAATACCGATAAACTCCTAACCATCGAACCACAGGTTGATTCATGTGTAAAAATTTATTAGAGAATGTGTTCATTGTCCACACAAAAAGATAAATTTGCGGTTTCAAAAAAGTGAAAAACAATAGTTTTGGTTCTATTCATTTGTGTACGCTATAGTGACGGAGATATGTACATACAAAGTACACAATTGTATGCTATTTAATTGTTGTTTTCAAAATTACTTGAGGTTTCCAAATATTGTGCTTGATTTATGGGAAATGATTGGGATCATTGGACGGATAACGATGCGTGCGTCTGCCTCCTCTGTCATCGTTGGATCTGATTTTAATCAGATGACCAAGAGCAACGTATTACTTAGGGCGTGTTCGGTAGTTGCCTGGCTTCTCAAATCCACGTTTCCAGCCGCAGAGTCCAGCCGAACGGGTCTACTCCTGGATTTTGGACCGAGAAGCTGGCTCAAATCTGTGTGTAAAAACGACGGAGCGACGGAGTTGGAAATACGTGGCTCCAAGAAAATAGCGAAGCGGGATTTGGATGGAAATTACGGGCCTCTGCCACCGCCAAGTGATCGATCCAGCCCCGCATTAGGGACACACTCGAGCTCGTCCTGTCCCGTGACTCCTCTTGCCCCTCCCCAACCCTAGCCGCCGCAAGCCTCAAGCGATGGCGCAAAGCACCTCGACCGCTGGCGGCCACGCTCTCCCCCGCCGCTAGTCCATGCCCTGACCCACCCTTCTCTGCCCTGCTCGCCCTCTTTCGCCACCGTCGCTGACCAAGTCCGCCACCATCAGCGACGAGCTTCCCCGCCCCTGTCCACCCTGTTTCGCCACCATCGCTGACCAGATCCGCCGCCGCAATTCGAGCACTGTCCGTCAGCGACGAGCTTCTCTGCCGTCAATCGAGCTCCTCCGCCTCATCGTGCACCTCTTCCCATTTCTGGAAGGTGATTTGCTGCCCGACCACCTCTCCCTATACATGCTAATGGTGGATTTTGTGATGTACATGCTGATTAGTTGTAGGATTTGGTGATGTTCTTTGGTAATTTTTTGTAGGTGATGTGTTGCCTGTAGATTGTAGGAAGGGGACAGAAAAAATGTAAATATTTTGTACATTCTCTGCTGCTGCATGTTCAGTACATGCTCATGGATAGTGCTGCATTTTGTTGCTATGTATGTTCAGTACAACAATAGAATTTTGCTAGTACATAATTAATGACAGCAGCAACACCTGTACATGTTTTTTTATAGTTAAGCACTCACATATTTTTTATACTCAAGTTCAGAGCATGTCTTCGAGCATGATTGCCGAGTGGGATGAAGAGAACACTAGGATCGTTACCAACTTGATGGTCACGCAAGTGAAGGCTGGAAATAGGCCAAACAAAATCTTGACCCCTAGTGCATCTGAGGAAGTGGCATTGCAATTTAAAGTGAGAACTGGATTGGACTACACGAGCCACCAAATGAAAAACAAATGGGATAAACTGAAAGCAGATTACGCTTTATTCAAGAAGCTCAAGCTAAAAGAGACCGGAGGGGGATGGGACTTTTTTCTCAACACTGTCAAACAAGATAAGGAGTGGTGGAAGAAAGCAAAAATTGTGAGTTGTCATGTTTCTGGATTGCATTTATTTTTAATAAACCAAAAATTGTGAGTCATATTTTTTTATTACTAATATTTGTTTGCAATGTATGACCTTAAAGGTTGCAGCAAGTTCCAAAAGTGTGGACTACGCAATGAAGAAAACTTGAGCATTATGTTTGAGGACATCACAAGTGATGGCACAGATCATTGGAATCCTTCAACAGGCATACCTCCATCCTCTAGTGCAGCAATACCAGATACCATTGATATTGAAGCCATCACAGATGTTGATTTCTTAGAAGATCCCCAAGTGCCACCTTCTCCTGCTATGCCACCTTCTCCTAGTATGCCACCTTCTCCTTTCGTGCCATCAACGAATAAGAGGCTTGGAAAAACCATTGATGACAAGCACAAGAAACCTAGGACTACACAAGTGATGCAGGATGAGATTACACAGATTAAAAACATTGCTAAGGAGTCCCAAGAAACCGTTCAATCATTCATAAAGAATGATGATGCCACTTCTGTTGCCAGTACCATGAATGAAGTGCTTGCTCTTGGTATTTTAGAGGGTAGTGATGAACACTACATAGCAACCGAGTTTTTCATCAAAAGAGAGCAAAGAGAGATGTTTCTACACATGGGTGTTGCCGCACGTAAAGATTGGCTTCGTAGGAAGTTTGCCATGACGTACGGGAAATAGTTGGTTCCACTAGATGGTTTCTCATGTCTTTTGTTTATGCACTATTGAACCATTTTATGTATTGACTATCTGGATGATATTTATGTAATGTTGAACCACCATTTTCTACTTGGATGAATTATTGGTAATTGCATGTTCTGGGCACTTGCACTTTTAGGATGTTCTGGGTACCATTTTATGTATGCACTATCTGCATGCTAGTTGGTATCTAATAAATGCATGATTTTGTATGTGCAGATGTCATGTGATGATGATAGTGATGATGACAACCAATATGAAGTGAAGAAAAAATTGATTTGTCTTCATTCCGAGCATATGTCGGTCATTTGTGAAGGAGCAACAAAAATAGTTGGAAAGTATTGCAGTAGTTGGATCATGAAGAATGAGCCTAGGAAATCTATCTTGACAGGATTTGGATGGTTGCAAGAGACTATTGGAACACCAGGGGAGACCTTTACAATGTTCAGAATGAAGACAAGAGTCTTCTTTGAGCTTCATGACTTGTTGGTGAAGGACTATGGGCTCGGTTATTCTCCATTTGTTAGCAGCTGTGAGTCTCTTGCTATGTTCTTGTGGACCTTGGGGGGTTGTGAATCAAATAGAAGGACCCAAAACCGTTTCAAACATTCACCTGACACTATCCACCGCAAGTTCCATGAGGTACTGCATTGTGTGGTCAGGATGTCTTGTCACTACCTCAAGCCGAAAGACCCCAATTTTCACACTGTGCATCAAAGGATCCTTGGTGATAAACGAGCATATCCACACATGAAAGACTGCATTGGTGCAATAGATGGGACTCACATTAGAGCTTCAATTCCAGAAGGCAAGCAAATCAGATATATTGGAAGGACAGGCGCAGTCACTCAGAATGTGATGGCAATATGTGACTTTGATATGCATTTCACTTATGCTTCAATTGGACAACCTGGTTCTATGCATGACACAAGTGTGCTATTTCATACAATGCATGCGGACAAGGCCACCTTCCCCCATCCTCCAAAGGGTGAGCATACTGACAAGGCCCCCTTCCCCCATGACTCAGAATGTTAGAACTCATTTCATGTATGCCAATTCTAACATTCATTCTTCTCACATATTTTTCATAGACAAGTACTACCTTGTGGATGCTGGCTATCCTAATAGAAAGGGATATCTCGCACCGTACAAAGGTGAAAGATATCATGTGCCTGACTTTCATAGAGGTGTTCCACCCAATACTCCTAAAGAAAAGTTCAATAGGCTCCACTCGTCCAAACGCAATTGCATAGAAAGAGCCTTTGGAGTGTGGAAGATGAAATGGCAGATTCTTCTAAAGATGCCAAACTACTCCATCGAAACACAAAATATGATTGTTGCCGCTACTATGACTTTGCACAACTATGTTCGCTTCCATGATGAAGAAGATATTCACTTTGTTCGATGCGACAGGGACCCGAACTATGTGCCAACAATTCTGGAACGATACAAGAAATTTGTTGCTCCTTCACACACATTGGATACATCAACTACAGCGGAAAATGGTGAAGACATGGATGTGTTTAGGCAAGAACTAGCTACAGCCATTGCTCTAAGTTGGTGAGACATCGTTGATGTTTGACACATGTACGTGGCCTTTTGATTTGCAAACTTATGCAAAACTATGAGGTGAAGCTTTGTTGATCTTAGAGGCATGTATTTGCCCCTTTTGATTTGCAAGCTTATGCACAATGAGAGGTTTTTGTTCTATAAAACATGTGTGGAACTTGATGCTCATGCCATGATATACATTGTCATATTTGTTTCAAAATTTACATAACCATTCTATGCTCAAAATATGAGATATTCCTCTCTGTACATGCTCTATGTTACTACCAAAACCGCTACAGCTAAAGAAAATCACAAGTACCAGCGTACAGGCATGCTGAACTGCTTTTGTACAGGCAAAATTCAGAACAGTAAAAAGATTCACCAACGAACAGGCCAAGCATTCCTATATAGGCCCGGTACACAGAGGAAGGAAAATAAATCTAAATCATCACTAGCCCACATATGCCCATGCCACACACAAACATGGGCTGCCAAAACGGGCCGAGCAGGCACTTTCTGGCCTTTTTACATCGTCCATCGCTGGCAACGAGAAGCTGCAGCGCCGAACGGATCGCTCGATCCTGGATTTTTCGTGGGAAGCTGGAGGCTGGAATCGGGCGACGGAGTTGAGGATTTTGCAGCCGTGGTGAACTACCGAACACGTCCTTAGACTAGATTTCACGACTGAGTCATTGCAATTTCTCCACCGCAACAACCCGTGTTTTGCGGGATCTGGATCTGGATCCCCATGAGAGTAGTGACCACCCTTGCTCCTCCCAAGCTTCCCGTCATGACGACGCCTCCTCGCGCTGCTTCAACCGACGCCCCTGACCCCCTCCCCCCGATGGCAGCACGCGGACGAGGTCGCCGGCGTGGGCGCTGCTGCCCGCCTCCACCATGAATGTCGCCCATCGCGGTGCGTCGAACTATAGCTGCATTCGCTGGCCTGGGATGCATTGGCGTCTGCGTCCACCGCGAGGAGTTGCGTCCATCGTTGTCCCCAGGGAGCATCGGCCTTTCTTTCGGCCGACGTGGTCGCTGCTTGCTGCTCGCTACAACAATTTCTTCCACAAGGAAAAGAAATATATAACAAGACCTCTATTGCAAAACAAAATAAATTTCAACGAGACCTCTGTTGCCAAAAAAATTGCAACAAGACTCCTGTCGCAAAAGGAAACTGTAATAAAAGACATTTGTTGCAAAAATAATCTCCTACTTGACCTATGTTGCAAAATTTTCCGCAACATAACCCATGTTTTTCTAAACAAAGTACAGACGCAAGCGCTCATATATGCGAGCATACACTCACCCTATGAACGCACACACGCACAACTTACCTCTATGAGCACCTCCGAGAGACTGGGCCGACATATCATCTTGAGATTTTACGAAGTCACCGTAGGCGTCTCGTACTCGACGGGAACGTCTCCTCCCACTGAACGCGTGCCGATGAAAATCTTGAAATAAATCCAGAATAAATACGAGCAACAAAATTTGAACCCTGGTTAACTGAGGATATCACTGTCCACCTAACTATCCAACCACAGATTGGTTCGCGCAACATAACCCGTAGTGCGAAAATTTTCTGCAACACGGCATGTGTTGTAGTGGTAGAAGGTGACCCTCCACCGCTCAATCCATCAGCGCCCTTATTTATACAGTACTTTTTAAACGAGCTTCATGTGATCCGGGAGGTGATCTGACTTCTCCAGAAGCGAGCACACAAGCGGTGGCCGCACCACAGCATTCTCGTTTCTCGTACCATACCAGGAAAACGAAATCCAAAACGTGGTGGAGCAGTGCGAGCCCATTGTGAAGCGGTAGGCGCCTTATCCTCCTGCGAACAGACACTGGTGGGTTCTGGGTGGCTGCAGGGCAGCAAAGTAATGGCTTCCGTCGCCCTCTTCTCGCCGCTGCTCCTGCTGCTTCTCTCCGCCGCCCATGGCGCGGCCCCTGCTCTTGGCTACAAACGGACCGACTTCCCGCCGGAATTCGTCTTCGGAGCCGCCACCTCCGCTTACCAGGCAACAACCATGACCCAACAATCTGAATGGCTAATTGGCTAATACGTATTTTCTTGCCCAAATCAGTTAAGCCTTTCGGGGTTTTCTTTGGCTGCAGTATGAGGGTGCCGTGGCTGAGGACGGCAGGAGCCCAAGCATCTGGGATACCTTCACTCACGCAGGTAACTAACCAATTAACCTGTCAGGTTCGTGCTGATTTTGGACCAAGATAAAAAACGGGGACGCTGATGTTTGAGCAGGTAATTATCCTGTCAGGTTCGTGCTGATTTTTCTTGTTCTGACGGCAGGGAAAATGGCGGATAAAAGCGTAGGTGACGTCGCTGCCGACGGGTACCACAAGTACAAGGTAGGTACAAGGCTACAAGCTTTTAAATCTGGTCATTTTGGGGGGCTCTGCATGGCTGATTTGCCCTGCTGATTGCAGTGATTTTAAGCAAAGGATGTAGTAGTACTATGCAGCCGTCTGCTAGTGCTACCAAACTGAACCTAACAAGCTCTTTCTAGTTCCTTAATTTTCTCTTCTCTGCCAAAAACAAAGTAAAACTTATCCTTACTATCTATCAATCAATTTTATTTTATTTTGCTGTGTTGAAGTGTGGTGATTTCCACACTGAATATTTAGACATTCTGTTTTAACCACACTGAATATCATCTTTCAGGATGATGTGAAGCTCATGGTTGACATGAACCTAGAGGCATATCGATTCTCTATCTCCTGGTCAAGGCTAATCCCAGGTAAAAGTACTTCTCATTATATCTCCGTTTGCACTATACTAGAAAAGCACAAAATTTAAACTAATTGTTAGTCTCTAATGAGACTGTCAGATGGCAGGGGAGCTATCAATCCAAAAGGGCTCGAGTACTACAACAGCCTAATAGATGCGCTAGTGCAACATGGTATGTCTATTTTCTGTAGTATATAAATGGAGTGTAATTGCAGAAAAGATCTTTATGTCAGTAGCCTAGTAAATGATCAACACTAAAAAAAATGCATATACTGCTTTCCTGTGTCTCCACTATCTAAACTTATGTGTGCCCATCGTGTTTCCTCAGGGATTCAAGTCCATATTATGATTTACCAGCTTGAGTACCCTCAAATGCTGGAAGATGAGTATGGAGGATGGTTAAGCCCTAGAATTGTGTAAGATTCCAGAATTTCTCCCTTGTAGTGATGACCTTCCTCAGGATCTTAAAATGTCAGAGAGGGTCCTACTTTCCTAGTATTCATATTTCCTCAGAGGTGTGCTACTGCAAAATGCAGGGAGGATTTCACAGCATTCGCAGATGTTTGCTTCAGGGAGTTTGGAGACAGGGTCACCTACTGGACTACGATAGATGAACCTAATGTGGGTGCGATGGGATCTTACGATATCGGAGGGATCGCACCAGGACATTGCTCTGATCCTTTTGGAGTTACAAAATGTTCCGTGGGTGACTCAACTGTGGAACCATATATAGCAGCTCATAACATGCTATTGGCGCATGCATCGGCAACTAGGCTTTACAGAGAAAAATTTCAAGTGAGTGATTTTGGGCCCAAAATTAAAACAAGTGCCTCTCTGTGATAATAAGCTAGTAAGGTTTATGTTGCTATCTAATATAAATTCTGAAATATCAGTATTGTCTAACTGTATATTCTTCAAAAAGGAAATTATTTTAAAGAGAAAGTAGTGTCTGACCATATATTGCT